TTCTAGTAAGAAGACCAGACTTAATGGTCTGAGACTGGCGGAACCCCAGAAAGCATGGCCCCTGGATTCTCTGTCAACCCAGAACTAAATTCCTGAGACCAACTTCAAAGATTAGACTGGACTATGGAACATAAAATGATACTCGTGAAGAATGGGCTTCTTAGCTTAAGTAGATACATAAGACTATATGGGAAGCTGCTGTCCGGAGGCAAGATGAGAAGGCAAAAAGTGACAGGAGCTAGTTGAATGGACACGGGAAATTGGGTGGAAAGGAGGAATGTGCTGTCACAGTATAGGGAGAGCAATTAGGGTCACATAACAATGTATGTATACATTTTTGTATGAGAGACTAACTTGAATTGTAAACTTTCACTTAAATACAATAAAATACAATACAATATAATAATCAGACATAGAATTATGAAGTATGAATCCAGGAAAATCAGAAATCATAAAAAATGGAACACATAAACATCAATATTCTAGGCATTATCAAGCTGAAATGGACTGATAGTGGCCATTTTAAATTGGACAGTTTGCCTGGAATGACAACTGGAAGAGGAATGGCATTGCCTTCATTGTCAAAAAGAACATTTCAAGATCTATGCTGAAGTACAACATTATCAGTGACACGATGATATCCATACGCCTACAAAGAAGACAATTTAATACGACTTACTCAAATTTATGCACCACCACTAAGGCCAAAGATTAATAAATTGAAGATTTTTACCAACTTCTGCAGTCTCAGATTGATCGAGCATGAAGACTAAGATGCTCCTGAGCCAAGCCAGGGTGTTTTCAATCACCTCATATACATGCAAAAGCTGGACAATGAATAAGGAAGAGCAAAGAAGAATTGGTGCCTTTGAATTATGGTGTTGGCAAAGAATATTGAATATACCATGAACTGCCAAAAGAACGAACCAATCTGTCTTGGAAGAAATACAGCCAGAATGCACCTAACAACAACAACAGCATGTTGTACAAAGGACACAAGATCACATCCATAAAATTCCCACCAAAGAATACATAATCTGAATCTAATCATGGGGAGGTATCTGACAAAACCAAATTGAACAATGTTACACAAAATACCAGGCTTTACTCTCTAGGAATATCCTTTTTTATGAGGAAATTATAAGTTTCCTTGAAACTCCCAATAGATGCTGTTTTATATCTCCTTGGCTAGTTTTATCTGTTGATGCCCCTCACTGCAAGGAAGGTAGAAAATTTGACTCTTATTCTCTTTAGTAGAGATAAGCAATAAGGGATTTGTTATTGGCAGTTTGTTAACCAGCCAACAGTGTCTGTTCCAGATGAACATAAACTGATGTTCGTTAGGACTTAGTTTATAAGACAAAACCAACTACTCATCAGGTGGCATGCCAAATATTTTTTAGTTCACCCAGGAAGTCTGTCTTTTAACAAGTTTGATTTATTTCTCAATGCAGCAAGATAATACACACACCATGGAGAACCATATGATATTACAAGAATAAGAGCGTGTGCCCTGATACTATTGCCCTGAGATAATCTTTAAACTTTAAACAAAAAATATTCCTTGAAGTCTTCTTAAAACCAAGCTTAGTAAAGAATGTCTGCCTTGAACATTGTGCTTTTAAGATCTATCTATATGTCATCCATCTGTAAAGGTGGTCCAACAGAATGCAGAAATTATTGAGCAATATCTTTAATATCACACACAAGTAAAATTTTGCTGAAGGTAATCCAAAAACCATTGCAGCAGTACATTTACAGACAACTGTCAGAAAGTCAAGCTGGGTGCAGAAGATGTGGAACAAGGGATATCATTCCTGATGTCAGATGGATCCTGGCTGAAAGCAGAGAATACTAGAATGATGTTTACCTGTGTTTTATTGACTATACAAAGGCATTTGTGTGGATCATAACAAATTATGGATAACATTAAGAATGGAAATTCCAGAACACTTAATTGTGCTCATGAGGGACCTGTTGTACATAGACCCAGAGGCAGTCTTTCTAACAGAACAAGGGGATGTTATTACGTGGTTTAGAATCAGGAAAGGTGTGTGTCAGGGTTGTATCCTTTCACCATAGTTACTCAATCTGTATGCTGAACAAATAATCCGAGAAGCTGGACTTTATGAAGAAGAATGGGGCATCCCGATCCGAGGAAGACTCTAACAACCTGCGATATGCATATGACACAATCTTGCTTTCTGAAAGTAAAGAGGACTTGAAGTACTTACTGATGAAGATCAAAGACTGCAGTCTTCAGTATGGATTACACCTCAACATGAAGAAAACAAAAATCCTCACAACTGCACCAATAAGCAACATCATGATAAATGGAGAAAAGATTGAAGTTGTCAAGGATTTCATCTTACTTGGATCCACAATCAATGCCCATGGAAGCAGCAGTCAAGAAATCAAAGGACACATTGCATTGGGCAAATCTGCTTTAATGAAACCTGTTTCAAGTGTTAAAAAGCAAAGATGTCAATTTAAGGACTAAGGTGTGCTTGACCCAAGCCATGGTATTTTCAATGGCTTTATATGCTTGTGAAAGTTGGCGATGAATAAGAAACACCAGAGAAGAATTTGTGCCTTTGAGTCGTGATTTTGACAAAGAATATTGAATATACCCTGGACTGCCAGGAGAACTAACAAATCTGTCTTGGAAGAAGTACAGCCAGGGTGCTCTTTGGAAGTGAGGATGGAAAGACTTTGTCTCACGTACTTTGGATGTGTTATCAGGAGGGACCAACTCCTGGAGAAGGACTTGATGCTTGATAAAGTAGAGGGTCAGTGAAAGAGAGGAAGACCCTCAAGGAGATGGCGTGACACAGTGGCTGCAGCAATGGACTTGCTTGGAGATGTGGACAAAGACTTGTTAGGTTCTGTCGAGTCGGTTGCAACTCATAGCGACCCTATGTACAGCAGAACAAAACACTGGCCGGTACTGCGCCATCCTCACAATCATTGTTATGCTGGAATCCATTGTTGCAGCCACTATGTCAATCCATCTCATTGAGGGTTTTCCTTTCTTGATGACCCTCTAGTTTACCAAGCATGATGTCCTTCTCCAGGGACTGATGGCTCCTGATAACATTTCCAAAGTATTCGAAACGTAGTCTCACCATCCTTGCTTCTAAGGAGCTTTCTGGTTGTGCTTCTTCCAAGACAGAGTTGTTTGTTCTTCTGGCAGTATATTCAATGGTATATTCAATATTCTTTGCCAACAACACAATTCAAAGGCATCAATTCTTCAGTCGCCCTTATTCATTGTCCAGCTTTCACTTGCACCATGGCCTGGGTCAGGCACACCTTAGTCTTCAAGGTGACATCTTTGCTTTTCAACACTCTAAAGAGGTTTTTTGCAGCAGATTTTCCCAGTGTGATGCATCTTTTGATTTCTTGTCTGCTGCTTCCATGGGTGTTGATTGTGGATCCAAATAAAATGAAATCTTTGACAACTTCAATCTTTTCTCCATTTATCATGATGTTGCTTATTGGTGGAGTTGTGAGGATTTTTTTTTTTATGTTGAGGTGTAATCCATACCGAAGATTGTGTTCTTTGATCTTCAGTAAGTGCTTCAAGTCCTTTTCACTTTCAGTAAGCAAGGTTATGGTATCTGCATAATGCAGGTTGTTAATGAGTCTTCCTCCAATCCGGATGCCCCATTCTTCATATAGTCCAGCTTCTTAGATTATTTGCTCAGCATACAGATTGAATAGGTATGGTGAAAAGATACAACCCTGACGCATACCCTTCCTGACTTTAAACCACACAGTATTCCCTTGTTCTGTTTGAACGACAGGCTCTTGACCTATGCACAGGTTACTCATCAGCACAATTAAGTGTTCTGGAATTCCCATTCTTCCCAATGTTATCTATAATTTGTTAGGATCAACACAGTGAAATGCCTTTTCATAGTCAGAAAACACAGATAAACATCTTTCCAGTATTCTCCACTTACAGCCAGGATCCATCGGACATTAGCAACAATATTCCCGGTTCCACGTCCTCTTCAGAATCTGGCTTGAATTTCTGGTAGTTCCCTGTCAATAATACTGCTGTAGTCACTTTTGAAAGATCTTCAGCAAAATTTTACTTGCATGTGATATTAATGATATTTTTCGATAATTTCCGTATTCTGTTGGCTCACCTTTTTTGGAAATAGGCGTAACTATGGATTGCTTCCAGTCTGTTGGTTAGGTAGCTGTCTTCCAAATTTCTTGGCATAGACGAGTAAGCACGTCCAGTGCCGCATTAGTTTGTTGAGATATCTCAGTTGGTATTCCATCCATTCCTGAAGCCTTGTTTTTCGCCAATGCCTTCAGTGCAGCTTGGACTTCTTCCTTCCATACCATCAGTTCCTAATCATATGCTACCTCCCGAAATAGCCCTCTCAAATTTGGTTGTTTTAACTGGCAAATTACTGATATCATAGGGTCCAGAGTAGGGGTTGGTATTCCTTGCTTTTCAATGCCCCTCCGAAACCATTCTACCTCTCCCATTTTATTTATACTTCCAGTTTTAGCTTCATATCGTCACATTATACTAACCATTAATCGCCTTCATTTAGTTATGTCCTGCCCACTAAAACGGACATTCCTCTTTAATTCCTTTAAGATTGTACCTTTTGCCTTAATGTTCCTTTTCTAACAATACTCCTGTCAGTCTTGGAGGCATTTAGACTTCAAGAAGTCATGTCTACCGAATACCGTCCGCTCGAACATCCAAGGAAAGCCTAGTAACCCATACTACGTAAGAAGTCGGAGCTTTTGGCTGTGCTCTCCTCAGGCATTGTGGGAATTGTAGTCCAGGAGTTCTGTATTATGAGAAGCGTTTCCGCCCCAGACGGGTGAGAGTACTGACGTTGTTTCCCTTGGTCTTCTTGGGAAGTGTAGTCCCTCAATTCCGTGGTGTCTCGGGCACTTCCGCTCAGGCTGGCAGTTCTGTGGCGTTCTGGGAAATGTAGTCCATACGCTCTGTGGAGTAGCCTGTACTTCCGCCCCAGGAGTGAGGTTCCTGCCATCTTTTCCTACATGGTGGTACTTCAGTCTTGCGTTTCGCGACCTTTGCGATCATTCTGGATCTGTATTTGGCGTTCACAACGACCCGGACATCGATTTAGGTGAAAAAGAATCGCGGCGGAAATAGGGGTTTGAGGGCGGAGGGTGGCGGTTTGCTTTACTCTCCCGGAGCCCTTTCTTTTTGGGGTCGTTCGCTCGTCGCCGGGTTGGGAACGGCCTCAGGTCGCGCATCGCCTGGGTTAAGGGTCTGCCAGTCTCTCTGCTGCGAGGAGCTGCCTCCCTCCACCTTCCATACGCGCTGTACTTCCTCTTGTTACAGCTTTAGGCAAAAAATCTCTCTGTGCTGCCAGCTGCATCTTCATAATAGAATTGTTTTAAGAATGAAAAGCCGTGGTATAAATAAGGAGTTTCTTGTGGTGCAAACCTTTGGAGGCTCCAGCCCACTCAGAGGCACGTCGGAAGGAAGGCCTGGGAATCTACTGCGGAAAAATCAGCCACTGAAAAGCCCATGGAGCACAGTTCTACTCTGACACACATGGGGTAGCTATGAGTTCTGACTGACTCATTGGCAACTGGTGATGGTATAAATAAAAGTCATAATACCGTTCCTGGTACATGGTGCATCCTGCCATCAAATTGTTAATAATGTTTAGTTTCGCAAGACGCTCTCAGTTCCCTTAAAGCTATGAACTCGGGATGCTTTCAAAGCTCCGACTGCAGTGGCCCTGGCCCTTCTCTCTGATCCCTGCAGGAAGCTGGATCTTCATGGATCCTTTCTGATCTCCTTGTTAGGAAGAAGAGTGTTGCTTGCAGCTGGTATGAGATGAGAAGAATTAACTGATTTATTGGGACCCCGAAGCGACCATTGTAACTCACAGCCTCCTTTCCTTCCCCAGCCCCAACTTCTCGAAAAGGACTGCACGAAGGTAGAGGCATTGACTCATTGATTACTAGTAGCAGAACCCCACGTGAGTAGAATTTCATGTTATTCTTCTGCAGAGATACTCAGTTATATTATTAGAATATGTGTGACATGTATTCTGGCATGGGTAATGATCATAATTAAGCTTTAATTGCTAAGTTCCATTCTTAGGGTTTTATACAGATTAATGCATTCATGCCACACTATAGTTCTATGAGGTGATACTTTTCTTTTAATTTTAGTTATTTTGTTGTTGAGAATATATGCTTCAAAACATATACCAATTCAAGTTTCTACATGGACAGTTTAGTGACATTGATTATGTTCTTCGAGTTGAGCAACCGTTCTCACTCTCCCTTTTGAGTTGTTCCTCCACATTTAACGTAAGCTTACTGCATATCAAGATTCCTATCTAATCTTTCAAGTTGCTGTTGTCAATTTCATTCAATATAGATAGTTCTTAAAAGAGCATAAAGCTCAAGGCAGACATTTTTTACTAGTTAAGCTAAACTATTATTTGGTATTAAGACTTTGGGAGATTTTTTGTGGGGGGGTTATGTTTTCATTTTCTTTTTTTTCTTTATTGTACTTTAAGTGAAAGTTTACAATTCAAGTTAGTCTCTCATACAAAAATTTATACATACATTGTTTTGTTACCCTAATTGCTCTCTCTGTACTGTGACAGCACACTCTTCCTTTCCACCCCTGATTTCCTGTGTCTGTTCAACCAGCTCCTGACCCTCTTTGCCTTCTCATCTCACCTCCAGACAGGAGCTGCCCATTTAGTCTCATGTTTGGGGGATATTTTTGGTTTAAGGTTTAAAGATTATCTCAGGGCAGTAGTTTCAGGGGTTCATCCAGCTTCCATGGCTCCAGAAAGTCTAATGGGTTCAAACTGCTAAACTTCTGGTTAGCAGTTGAGCGCTTTAACCACTTTGCCATCAGGTTTCCTGATTTGAGCCACAGGGAGCATAAATTGTTTACCCATAGTCACCCACTTGATGCAGACAGTCAAGAAACGTGGCTGCTAACTGAATGGTTGGTGGTTTGAACTCACCCAGAGGTGTCTGGGAAGAAAGGCCTGATGATCTGCTTCTGAAAGGTGCCAGCCATGAAAATCCTATGAAGTGCAGTTCTGTTCTACAACACATGGAGTTACCCTGGGTCATTTATCAACTCCAGGGCAACTGATTTGGTTAGGTTTTTTAGTCACCTCCCTCTAGTAGGAAAGGAGCCCTGGTGGTGCAGTGGTTAAAGCGCTGAGCTGCTAACCGAAAGGTCATCAGTTGGAACCCACCAACTGCTCCATGGGAGAAAGATGTGGCAGTCTGCTTCTGTGAAGATTACAACCTTGGAAACCCTGTGGGGCAGTTCTACTCTGTGGTATAGGGGGGTTGCTACGAGTCTGAATAGACTCTGTGGCAATGGGTTTGGAACTAGTAGAAGGCAAAGCTGGTATGTTACCTAAGAAGTCTTAGTCCAGAGTTCATAATCTCTGTGATATATTCTCCTTGAGCAACAGGCTGGGATCAGTTTGATTGTGGGAACTTAATGGGTTTAAACATTTCTGTGGTTTTTGTAAAAAATTCTATTTTGTTTCATTTGATTCCAAATAGTATTTCGTATTCTTAGAGAACAATATCATTGTGCAGTATTCAGAAAATATAGAAATATCCAGAGAAAAAAGTTTTTAATTACCCATGACTCCAGGATGTAAAGATAGCAACTGTAATGCTTGAGATGCATTTCTGTGTAGTGGTTCTTTGTGGATAGTTGTATATTTATTTATAAATGTTTAACAAAATTTATATCATACTTTTCATTTTTCTCCCCTTATCTTTTTTAATTACGGAAATTTCCAAAACCCTGCCAAAAAAGAGTAGACGAATGAACATACCAGGAGGCCAGTGATTTTGGTTTGTTTCTATTGATGACGTCCACTTTGTTTAGTTGGCTAAAGTGGTATCTGTCAGATTTCTCCACTGTAAAGTTACTTTTTTTTCTTTCAGTAATTAATAAGTTCTGGGGAGATGCATTTATTAGTGGACAGTCTATTATAAAGATCAGCTTCCTCTTTATTTATTCATTCAAATTTAAATTTTATATCAATATGGACTCAGCATCTTTATTGAGACATATTATGTATAGAAAGCACCCATTTCAGGTGTACAGTTCAGTGATTTTAGTAACTTAGTGGCGCAACTGTCACTATGAATCAGTTTGAAAGCATATTCATCCCCCAGTTAGACCCCTTATGCCCTTTTACAGTTAATCCCCATTCTGCCTCAATCCTCAGGAAACTACTGCTGTATTTTCTCTCTCTATGTTGTTGCTAGGTGCCATCTAGTCGATTTTTGACTCATATCGACCCTATGTGACAGAGTAAAACCATCCCATAGGCTTTTCTTGGCTATAATCTTTCCAGCAGCAGATCGCCAGGTCTTTCTCTCATGGAACTGATGGGTTGGCTGAACCAACAACCTTTCAGTTAGCAGCTGAGCACTTAACCATTGCACCACCAGTGCTTCTTAGATTTACCTATCCTGGCCATTTCATGCAAATGGAATCATACAATATAATGGTCTTTTCTGACTGGCTTCTTTAACTTAGCATGTTTTCACAGTTTATCCATGTTGTAGAATGTATGCCTTTTGTTACTTTTTTTGCTGAAAAATATTCCATTGTATGGATATGCCACACTTTGTCTATCCATTCACCAGTAGGTGGACATCAGTGTTGTTTAGTTTGGGGCCGTTATGAATCAAGCTGCCATGAACATTCACATGCAAGTCTTTGTGTGCACATGTGTTTATGTTTCTCCTGGGTAGATACCTGGGCATGGAATTGCTAGTTTGAGTGGTAGTTTCATGTTTAACTTTTGAGAAAATGCCGAACTTTTTCCAAAGTGGCTGCATCAAACTATTTTTTTCTCTAAATATTGTGTTTTTTAACAATAACTAATGTTTTTCTTCATGCATGTGGATAAAAAGGCTTATCTTTCTGCTTTATGACAAGAATTCATTTGTTTTTATACATTTTAGAAAACAGTTATTTATGCTAATTTAAATATTATTGTTAAGGCAACAATTTATTAGTGAAGATAGTCAAGCCAATCAGATTTTTCAGCAGTAACATTTGACCTTCACTCAACAGAGCAAACACATTAGAAGTCCACGTATCTTACCATGTTCCTTTGGTAAAAATACGTGTGTGTGAAAACAGTTGCATACTACAGAATATCGTGTGCCTTTCTGTAGCTGCAAAATTATAAGAAACCCTGATAGTGTCCTAAGACTTTTCCACCTCACAGCAATCCCATCAATAGAGACTCTTACTTCCTGTTTTACGGATGACAGAATTGAGACAGAGAGATAATCTTTTCTCCGAGGTGATCACAGCTAGTGAGAAGCCATGTCAGAATTTGTACCCATAAATATATTGGCCTCAGAGCTGACTTATTCAATAAATTATATCTTCTCAATTTCTGTTGTACCAGAATCAGAATTGCTACCTTGGGGGCCACAAGGCAGTACTGGTGAGGGGGCCACTGTGTGTAGCTGTGCAGAGTGTTCACTGAATCGCAGCTAAAACGGGTCAAGGGCATCTAGTGTCCATGCCACGCTATGCTCATCAGGCCGTGTGCAGCTGCAGCCACCCAGACAAAAGGGTCCTTTGGCTAATTCACAATAAGCGTCCATGTAGGCAAACAGTATCCCTGGCCACTCTTTATGTCTTCTTTCTCCTTTCCCAGTTCTGCCTCTTCAGGACTCTCTGCATCACCAGAAGTAGGAAGAAAAATGAGCACGTTCAAGGTGAGTAGGGCTTGCCCTTCTCATTGTTAATATTCTGTCACACTACTTTGTTTGGACACCTGTTTTTCTCTTTCATGGGGAGGACTCAAAGAAAACAAAAGGCATTTCAGGACATTTTGTGTGCCAAGATAACTTGGTCTGTTTTTGGTTTACTTTGGATTTGTTTTTAGTTTTTATTTTTATCATTTTTTTTTTTAATTTCAAAATAAAATGAAAGAATGAATAGGAATGAGCAGTTTTCCTACTTTACTACTTCCCTCCTTACAAATTAGTTGTTTTTATTTTCTCATACTCATTTCCTCATGTGCATCCATAGCTGTATTTGTATTCATACTACATATCTAATTTTGAATGGTGCCTTTCATTTAATCTTATATAATATTTGTTTTTTGTGATTACATCATATTCCCATTCATAAACCTTTTAGCTTTTAATTACTTCCTACTCTCATACACATTTAGGTGATTTAGGAGTTTTATTGTTTTAAGTAACCCTACAGTGATAGTTTTCCTATATAAAACCTTTTACCCCTAAAGCCAGTTCTGAAAAATAATCTGCTGGTTTTTGTCCTCAGTGTACCAGGAGCTCAAATCAAAAAGGTACATTTGATATGTGGTACATTGGCTGTTTTGTAGATACCAGATGCCCTCAAGTCAATTCCGATTCATAACGACCCTGTATATTTCAGAACAGAACCATGCTCCATAGAGTTTTCATGACTGAGACCTTTCAGAAGCAGATTGCTAGGCCTTTCTTCCAAGGTACCTCTAAGTGGGTTCAAACTGCCACCTTCGCTTTTGACCAATTGTCTGCGAATTTGGAGGTTCTCACTACCCTCTTAGGTTTGGTAATTCGCTAAAACATCTCACAGAACTCAAGAAAGACTATAGTTACAATAACAGATCTATTATAACAAAAGAATATAAAACATAACCAGCCAAAGGGAGAGATGCATAGGGCAAGGCTTTCGAGGCTCCCAAAGACAAAGCTTTCATTGTCTTCAAGGAATCATCACCCTCCTGCTACGTTGATGTGAAACAATGCATAGAATATTGTCAACCAGGGCAGTTCACCTGGACTTCTGTGTCCAGAATTTCTAGTGGGATTTTATTACATAAGCATGACTGATTGTTAGTCCACCTCCCATCACGTGGAGTTGGGCTGATAGTAACGTGGCTCCATCCTCCAAACCTCTTGTCATGTGATTAATCTTTCTAGCAGTACAAAGATGTTTCCATTCATCATGTTGAGTTATTTCAGTAGACAGAACAATCAGGTGTGGTCCCAGGGGCGCACGATGAATAACAAAGACACTGCAATCATTGGGGAAATTTCCAAGCGTTATAGGCTACTTTAGGAACCAGAGGCAAAGCCAGCCAAATTCTTTGTTACACGTCTGGAGTCATATGCAGCCATGAAATGGAATGAAATAGATAACAGTAATGAAAATTAATAAGAATAATAGCTAATATTTGTTAAGTACTTAGTCTGTGCCACACAATGTTGCAGGTGGTATATACAGGTAATCCGCGACTTACGACAGGTTTCCATTCCAGTGACTCTGTCCTAAGATGATTCTTTTTTTTTTAAGTTTTCATTATTATTGCCTTTTTTAAATCAGTACGCTTATAAATCTAATCTTAATTTGTCTTTGGGGGTTGGCATGAGAACGAAACATCAGCAAATAATGTGCTGCAATGTTGTACATAGTATATATTACTAATAATAAGATGGAAAGAAAAAAGGATGATCGTAAGTGCAGTTCATCATAACTCTAATATGTCGTAAGTCAGGGACTACCTTTAGATTGCTTTGTTTACTCCCTGAAGGAGCCCTGTAATGCAAGAACCATCATACACAGGAAACTAAGGTGTGTAAACAAACTTGTCCTAGGTAACATGGCTAACAAGGGGAAGGCCCTTGGCATGTTTGCTCAGACATGGTGGCTCCAAGGTAGTAAACTGAATGCTGTAATTTATAGATGTGGTGTGTGACTTGACAGTATAGAGGACCAACTACATACCTGTCTGAGACAGGTTACCAAAACCTTGCAAGTTAGGCAGACAGTAAAGAAAACTGTCCACTGTTAGTGTATGTGAGAGGAGGAACATGAGTGCTATCAAATTCTGTTGAAACTAAACTGGTAAACTTTTCTGGGGTAATTGACAATATGAATCAAAAAGTAAAACGTGTATCCCAGCATGCAACATTTAGAGTTCTAGGTGTTTACTTAATAAGTATACTTCGAGGACACCAAGTGAAAATACAGGGGCTTTCATTCATTGCTGCACTTTTGGTGAAGCTAAGGAAAATCAGTGTATGGCATTGGCAGGTTACAAGAAGGGTTGGGAAATCTGCACATTGACTTGTCCCACAAAATCTGGAATGACTCCCCCCTCTGGCACCCCATCCTTCTAACCTTGTCAGTGCCACCCCTTTTCAAGTGGATAGTAGTTCTAAGACTGATGTTTTGTGTTTGATGTTTTAGGAATCAATGACATTCAAGGATGTGGCTGTTGTCTTCACCGAGGAGGAGCTGGGGCTGCTGGACTCTGACCAGAGGAAACTGTACCAAGATGTGATGCTGGAGAACTTCAGGAACCTGGTCTCTGTGGGTGAGGACAGCCTCCTCTGGAGTGTCTTTATCCCCTCACGTGTTCAAGGCATTGGGGCTCCTGGAATGGTCACCTAAATATGGTGAACTGACTCTCCTACCAATATTTTTTTATGAAATAAAATAGGTAGAAGATACCAAGAGTTCCTTTGGAAGGAAGGAGCACATTGCAGCACAAACTCTGGCCAATTACATGTATGGTGTAAGAGCCAGTGAGGGGAGATTTAATGAAAGTAGACCTTTGTTAGAAGTAGGTCAATCTATGTTTTAGTAATATATATTTATGTAAACGTGTCTGGGTCTAAAATAATTGGTATTTCTTCAGGTGGGTCGTGTTAGAAAAAATGTTAGAAAAACACTGCTTTTGATCAGTTGATGAGTATCAGCCGGACCCACATTTCTAGTAGATTGTACCATTGATGTGTGCATTTGAATATGTGGGTATGTAATAGTTAATTTTATGTGTCAGCTTGGCTGGGTTGTGATTGCCACTTTTTTGGCCAAACACTAATAGTGATGTCATGGCATAGTTACATGTAATTAAAGCAGTTGGCCTTGGGTAGATCGTATTACCTTCCGTAATGCAATCTAATGTATTGTAACCAACCAGTCAGTTGAAATGGATGTATTCTGCCTCCAGACTGTAAATAGATGTTTTGACAGAACTCTCTTACGCGCACAGGGTGGACAGATGCCATGTGGGAATCATATACAAGCCAAGGAACCACAAGTTACCAAGGAATGCCCAGGGCTACCGACAAGGAAGGAATTGACAGCCAAGACCTGTATTTGGATTTTAGCCTCTAGAACTGTGAAAAATAAATTTCCAGTCTTTAAGCCACCCACTTGTGGATTTGTGTTACAGTAGCACTAGGTAACTAAGAAAATGAATTGGTTTTCTATGGTTGCCATAACCCAATACCACCAACTAGGTGGCTTATAAGAGTAGAAATCTATTGTATCACATTTATGGAGGCTATAAATCCAAATCAACATGTTAGTGGGCCATGCTGTCTTCAAAGTTTGTGTGGGAGGATACTTTCTTGTCTCTTTCACCTTCTGGTAGCCTCAGGTCTTTGACTTGTAGCTGTAGCATCCCATAGTATTCTTCCGTTTGTGTCTGTCTCTGTCTTTTCTCTTTTATAAAGACATCACTCCATTGGATTAGGACCCACCTAGTGGTTGAGAGCTCGGCTGCTAACCACAAGGTTGGCAGTTCAAATCCACCAGCCGCTCCTTGGAAACTCTATGGGGCATTTCTGCACCGTCCTATAGGGTTGCTATGAGTCAGAATCGACTCAATGGCAACTGGAACTCCAGTATGGCCTCATATTAGCTTAACTATAACATCTTCAAAGACCCTGTTTCCAAACAAGGTCATGTTTACAGGTACCAGGAGTTAGGTCTTCAACATAACTTCATGGGGGACACATTTCAATCCATGATAAAGTAGATATAAACTCTTCTAGATATTTGACATTTATAGTGATACATAAACCCAAATATGCAAAGTATTGATTTCGTTATTGCTTTTCTTTATAGTTCCTGTGGATTCATATTTTATCTACACGAGTTTTATATCATAGTGTTTTTGGCCAGTTGATTTCTTTTTATCATGGTAAAATATATATAATGAAACATTTGCCATTACAACCATTTTTATGTGTACAATTCAGTGACATTAATTATGTTCCCTATCTGCAACCCACTTTTTCATCCAAATTTGTTTTATCACCCTTAACAGCAACTCAGTGCCCCTTAAGCAATAACTCCCACTTTTGTTCTACCCACCCCTGGTAGCCACTAATAAATTTTGGTCTCTATACATTTGCCTATTCTAGATACTTCATATAAATGGAATCATAACAATATTTGTCCTTTTGCGTCTAACTTATTTCACTCAGCATAGTGTTTTCAGAATTCATCCATGTCATAGGATGTATCAGAACTTCATTTCTCTTTATGGCAGGATAATATTCCATTCTGTGGATATGCCACATTTTGTTTATCCATTTGTCTTTTGATGGACACTTGAATTGTTTCTACCTTTTGGCTGTTGTAAATAGTGCTGCAGTGAACATTGGTATATAAGTATCTGAGTCCCTGCTTTCAAGTCTTTTGGGTATATACCTAGGGTTGAAATTGCTTGGTCATGTGGTAACTATGTTTAGCTTTTTGAGCAACTGTCAAAGTTTTCCACATCAGCTGAACCATTTTACAGTACTCTCAATGATAGATGAGCGTTCTAATTTCTTCTCATCTTCACCAACACTTATTATTTTCCATTTTTCTGTTAATAGTCACTGTAGTGGGGATGAAGTGGTATTTCATTGTGGTTTTGATTTGCATTTCCCTACTGACGAATGAAGCTCTGGTGGTGCATTGGTTAAGAGCTACAGCTGCTAACCAAAAAGGTCAGCAGTTTGAATCCACCAGCTGCTCCTTGGAAACCCTATAGGGCAGTTCTACTCTGCCCTGTACAGTTGCTATGAGTTGGAATCGACTTGATGGCAACAGATGACTGACTAATGATGTTGGCATCTTTTCTTGTGCTTATGGGCCATTTGTATATCTTTTTTGGTAAAATGTCTATTTAAGTCCTTTGCTCATTTTTTTTTTAATTGGTTGTTTATCTTTATGTTGTTGAGCTATAGGAGTTCTGTATATCTTCTGGATATTAAACCCTTATCATATACGTGGCTCCCAAATGTTTTCTACCGTTCTGTAGGTTGACTTCACTTTGTTTATAAAATCCTTTGATGCACAAAAGTTTTAAATTTTGATGAAGTCCAATTTATGTATTTTATCTTTTGTTGCTCATGCTTTTGGTGTCATACCTTAGAATCTGTTGTCAAAGCATTACCTCTGTGTTTTGTACTAAGAATTTTATGGTTTTAGTTCTTACGTTTAGGTCTTTGATCCATTTTGAGTTCATTTTTGTATATGGTGTGAATTATGGGTCCAACTTCCTTTTTTTGCATGAGGAAATCTAGTTATCCCAGCTGTATCTTAATAATTTATTAGTTTGATAATTTATGATGAAGATTGTATGCTGACCTTGAAATTCAATAGAAATAGCAACAGTTTAAAAGTTTGTATCATATTACAGTATCTTACCTTTTTTTTCTTCTTTTTTTCTTTTTTAAATTAAGTCTGATTTCTAACTTCTGCATCATATAGGAGACTTGGTGTGGTCTAACAGATCTTGTTAATGCTTAGTGGATAGGCGCCTGCTGGACCACCTTTTCGTTTCTGTAGGATTATAAACCAGAGAACATTTTACACAGTGAAAAAGTGAAACTGAATCATTCCTGGGTTAGTTAAAGTCTCATACTTTGTCCTAACTGTGAAATATTGAAACCTCTAAACAAAACTTTCACTTGTCCACATCTCTGAATTCTCTGTCATAACAGGAGGCCAGATCCAAAGTGAGATGGAGACTGCTCCAGATGCAAGACCATGTGACGCACTGTCCTGCTGGCAAATCTGGCAACAAAGTACGAGTGACTTAACCAGGTGTCAAGGCCCTGTGATAAATAATTCTCATTTCTACAAACAGAATGATTTGGCCTGCCAGATTAGGGCAGGACCGTCTATTATTCACACAGGAGAGAAGGCTTATCAGTGTAATGAGTGTACAGAAACGTTCAGTGATGTCTCCAGCTTTGATCTTCATCAGCGGTTACACTCAGGAGAGAAGTCTCACACATGTAATGAGTGTGGAAAAAGCTTCCGTTATAGTTCAGTTCTTCATATTCATCAGAAAGTTCACGTGGGAGAGAAATGCTGTAAGTGTGATGAATGTAAAAAGGAATTCAGTCAGAGCTCACATCTGCAAACTCATCAAAAAGTCCACACTGTAGCTAAACCACACAAATATGAGGCATGTGGGAAAGGCTTCCATTCGAGATTTGCACTTAATGTTCGTTGCAAAGTCCACACAGGACAGAAACCTTATAATTGTGAAGAATGTGGGAGGGCCTTCGTTTATGCTTCGCATCTTCGAGAACATCAGAGAATCCACACTGGGGAGAAGCCTTTCAAATGTGATGAATGTGGTGAGAACTTTCGTCGTAGGTCAACACTTAATATCCATTACATGCTCCATACGGGAGAGAAACCATACAAATGTGCTGAGTGTGGGAAGGACTTCCGTCAGTCTGCTGGTCTTCGAACTCATCAGAGAATCCATAGCGGGGAAAAACCATTCATATGTGAAGTGTGTGGGAAGAACTTTATTCAGAGATCACACCTTCGATCCCATCTAGGAGTCCACACAACAGAGAGACCATACAAATGTGTTCTGTGTGGGAAGAGCTTTATGATGAAATACAATTATGAATTTCATTTGGTAGTCCACACCGGAGATAAACCCTATAAATGTGAAGTGTGTGGGAAGCGCTTTAGTCGTAGAGGAGATTATAATATACATTGTAGAATCCACACAGGAGTGAAACCCTATAATTGTGAGGAATGTGGGAAGGACTTCAGCCGTAGATCTGCACTTAAAGTTCATTGCAGAGTGCACACAGGAGAGAAACCTTATAATTGTGAGGAATGTGGAAAGTGCTTCATTCGTCGATCAGAACTTAATGTTCATTGCAAAGTCCACAAGAGAGAGAAACCTTATAATTGTGAGGAATGTGGCAGGGCCTTCATTCAGGCTTCACGTTTCCGGGAGCATCAGAAAATCCACACTGGAGAGAAACCATTCAAATGTGATACATGTGGTAAAAACTTTCATTTAAAATCAACACTTTATAATCATTGCAAAATCCACACAGGAGAACAACCGTACAAATGTGAGGAGTGTGGTAAGGGCTTCAATTTTCCCTCAAAACTTTATGTCCATAAGAGTGTCCATACAGGAGAGAAACCATATAATTGTGCAGAATGTGGGAAGCACTTTAGTCGAGGTTCCTATCTTAGGAAACATCAGAGAGTCCACAGTGGAGAAAAGCCACTCAAATGGGAAGAGTGGAAAGAGATTTGGTCAGAATTCTCACCTTCAGTCCCATCAGAGGGTTCACACTGGAGAAAAGCTATACAGATATGAAGAGATTGGGTAGGGCTTCAAGTGGAACTTGAATCGTGATAATCATAAGAGGGTCCACATGACAGAGGAACCATATAAGTATGGGGAATGTGGTAAATAATTGTGCCTCCAATTGTCGACTTTATCAGAGCATCCACACTGGAGAGAAACTATACAAGTGTGATACAGTTGGTAAAATCTTCCATCGTTCTTCAGAACTTCAGAGACTTCACACTGGAGAGAAACCTTACAAATGTGAGATGTGTGGTTAGCACTTCCTGTTGAGATCATATCTTCTAAGTCATCAAAGAATACATCCAAAATGAAAGCCGTTGCCGTCAAGTCTATTCTGATTCATGGAGACGCCTTGTGCTACAGAGTCGAATTGCTCCCTAGGGCTTTCTTGGTTGTAAGGAGCCCTGGTGTTGCAATGGTTAAGTGCTTGACTGCTAACAAACAGGTTGACGGTTTGAACCCACTAGCCATTAAATGGGAGGAAAGACCTGGCAATTTCCTCCCATAAAGATTATAGCCTAGAAAACCCTATGGGCAGTTCTGCTTTGTCATATAGGGTCACTATGAGTCAAAATCAACTCAACAACGCACAACAACAGTCTTTACCGAAGCAGATCACTAGGCCTTTCTCCCGTGATGCCACTGGATGGGTTTGAACTGCTAACATTTAGGTTAAAAGTTGATTACAAAGAATTTGTGCCTCCCTGGGACATATAAAGAATCCATAGTGATGATATATTTTATATAAGTTATGGGAGTAGCAAGAACTTCAGAAAACCCTCAGAGTAAAGAAGTTCTATAAAATGATTTATAAAAACTGCGCAACTGGAATTCTTATAATCATCAGGTCTTGTAAGTGGAAAATGTGTTTTATTAAAGTCAGTGCTTCAGCCATAGCTCAATACATCCCAGTGGTCAAGAGACCTTGTAAGTGGTGCAGTAAGGGCTTCTCTCAGACCTTGACAATTATCACATACAGGTGGTCCTGGACTTAGGATGTATTCCAGTTATGATGAACTGGAATCATAACTGATGAACCGTACTTATAATTGTACAATCATCTGGGTTTTTTTTAAGTACATCTTATTGTTAGTAATATGTACTACATACAGTGTTACAGTGCTAATTTGTTGATGTCATCATTGACAGATGTTCACTCGCTTATGTTCGGTGTTTGAATTTATAAAGATACTGTTTTGGATTGAATTGTGTCCCCCTAAAACATGTGTTGTAATCCTAACCTCTATGCTTGTGGTTAAAATCCCATTTGGGAATGAGTTTTCTGTTCTGTTAATGAGGCATTATTAGTGTAGGGTGTGTCCTGAGTTAATCTCTTACAATAGATAAAAAGAGCAGATTAGGCAAGCAGAGATGGGGGGTGTGGAGGGAAGATGCCACGCCAAATGAAGATCCCCCATGAGCAGAAACTCAGAAGAGTCTAGGACCGTCCTCCAGAGCCGACAGAGACAGAAAGCCTTCCCCTAGAGCTGACACCCTAAATTCAGACTTCTTGCCACCTATACTGTGAGAAAATAAATTTCTGTTTGTTAAAGCCACCCACATGTGGTATTTCTGTTATAGCAGCACCACATAACTAAGACGCATACCAATTTGGTATTTCTGTTAAAGCTGCACTAGATAACTAAGATGGAATTTGGTACCAACTGTGGGGTGCTGCTCTAACAGATACCTAAAATGTGAAAGTCGTTTCGGAATTGGTAATGGGTAGAGACTAGAAGAGTTTTAAGGTGCTTAATAGTATAAACCTTGGTTGCCTTGAAGAGACTGTTGGTAGATTTATGGACATCAAAGGAAATTCTGGCGAGGGCACAGAAGAAAGTGAGTAGGGCTAGAGAGAAAGTATCATCTTAGAGAATACACATGGCTCCGTCAACATGCTAGATGTGGATGTTAAATGTGCTTCTGGTGAGCTTTAAAATGATAAACATAGATTGGACAATTGAGGAAGGGTGATGATCTTTTTGTGGTGGCAAAGAACTTGTCTAAATTATGTTCAAATGTTTGGTGGAAAGTAGAATTTGTAAGTGATAATCTTGGATATGTAGCTGATTATATTTCCAAGCCAGATCTTAAAAGAGCCGTGTGGTTTCTCCTTGCAGTTCATAGTAAAATGCAAGAGGAAAGAGATGGGCTTAAAAGTGAACTTTGCAAAAAGAAAACAAAATTTAAAGATGTGGAAATTTCTATTGTACAAACTAAGGACACGTACCCTAGAATTTTCACCATGGAAGTCGCTGCACAATCTTTTGGTAACTCAGTTAAGCCGGTGACTGATGGACCTAACCAACTACCACAGCAGAAAACCCATTAGTTTAGACTGAAGGGGATAGAGACCGAAAAGAAAGAATGCTGTCTGCCTCCTGGAATTCTATAAGCAGTAAACAGGCCAAAGGAGCTGTATCTGTTATCCTCCAAGAAAAGAAAAGGACCATCCCTGGAAGAGCCTGTAGATCCGAACTGTTGGAAGGAGCATGGGAAGCAGGGCCTTCTCAGTTTCAAAGGGTGGGGCCACACTCTCCTGAATCTCAAGGGGTGAGAACACAGCTTCCTAGATTTCAAAGAGTGGGATCTTCACCAACTTGGTTCAGGAATGTGGGGCTTCTATTAAGGTGTGCCTGGGCCTGAGGTCACCACACACAGCTGAGGGGGCAGGGCTGCCATGCCCAAGGGATAGAAGAACAGAGCCTGCCGGTGCCAAGGGGGTATAGTTGCCACTCAAATGGACTAGGATAGTGGGGCTGCCCAAAGCCGAGACAGCAGAGGTGACTTCCCAGTGGGCCTGGAAAGCAGAGCTGAAGCCCAGGGCTGAGACACCCCCACCCAGAATCCAGAGGGCATGGCCAACACCCAGTCTGGAGGGCAAGGCCCTTACCCCGATGGTCTCAGAGAACAGAGGATTATTTTCAAACTTGAGAACTAATGTAAATTTTTCTGCTGGGTTTTAGACTTGTTGCCTGTTATCCCTTCTTTCCCTCGGGTTTCTGCCATTTGTAATGGAAATGTCTACTTTGTGCCTGTTCCATTATTGTGTTGGAAACAGGTAACTTGTAGTCTAGATATCACCGGTTCACAGATGAAGAGGAATTTTGCTCCAGGATGGAATTTGCCTAACGTCTCACCCATACTTGATTTAGATTATTCAGAAGATAAGATTTTGGACTTGGAGTTGACTTGAGACTTTTGGGATGATGTGATGGGAGCCCTGGTGTCACAGTGGTTAACAGCTCAGCTGCTAACCAGAAGGTCAGCAGTTGGAATCCACCAGCTCCTCCTTGGAAACCCTGTGGGGCAGTTCTACTCTGTCCTATAGGGTTGCTATGAGTCGGAATTGATGGCGGTAGGTTTGGTTTTTAGTTTGGTGATGGGGTGAATGTGTTTTTTCATGTGGCAGGGACATGAATTTTTGGAGGCCAAAGGATGGAATGTTATGGATTGAATTCTGTTCCCCCAAAACATGTTGTAAATTCTAACCTTTATGCCTGTAGTTATAATCCCATATGGGAATGAGTTTTCTGTTATGTTAATGAGGCAGGATTAGCGTAGGGTGTATCTTGAGTTAACCTCTCACAATAGATTAAAACAGCAGATTAGATTAGCAGAGATGGGAGGAAGAGATATGCCAGGCTACATGAAGGTCGCCCTGGAGCAGAAGTTCAAAAGAGACAACGACCTTTCCTTCAGAGCCAACAGAAGGAGAAAGGCTTCCCTTTGAGCCAGCAATCTGCATTTGGACTTCTAGCCTCCTACACTGTGAGAAAATAAATTTCTGCTTGTTAAAACCACCCACTTGTGGTATTTCTGTTATAGCAGCACTAGGTAACTAAGACAGATACTGATAATAAAAGGCAATAATAATGAAAGCTTAAAAAAAAGTATTTGGCTTACATCAGAACCAACTTATGATGGCGTCATCAGAACGGAACCCTGTCATAAGTCGGACTACCTGTGTCACTCAGGACATAGCACTTAGAAAGAATAAGAGTTTGATCATGTCTTTACAAAAGTATAATGATGGACATCAATATCACTATCCCCTAGGATGTAATCTCCACGAGGGCAAGGCCTTTGCTGCTGAATCTATACAACCTTAATATTGACCAGCACTTTGTAGGTGTGCTCAAAACTTGTGTGTTAAATTTAAAAAAAGGCAAGAATGTGCAATATTTGAAAATTTTATCCAGAAAAACAAACAGGAAAAAACAAAGTTAATTCAGGGAAATGAACATTGAAATAGAGAACACCACTTGGTACTGCAGTCCACAATATTGTTTTCATATTAACCTAATGCATTTGGCTCCTCTCCTCCCAAGTATTCTTACCGAGTTAGGCTGTTATTATTTGAGACTGTGTCTAGTGTTCTTTCCATTGTATACAGTATAAAAACTACTATACAATTATTAATTAGTACCAACCCCACAGGACTGCTGTTGTTAGTTACTGTCAAGTCGATTTCAACTCATGACAACCCCATGTGTGCAGAGTGGAATTGCTCCTAAAGGCTACTATATTATGTGATTTTTCCGATACCAGACTGAGGATGTTTTGTTAATCTTTCATAAGCCAGACACCGCATATTAAACATTTGAATATTTCTTCAGCTGTGTTAACGCAGGGCTGTACTTTAACGGTTTGAAAGTGTAAGAAGTAGTTACTAATGATGAAAATTTTCTTTATCTAATTTCTGAGTTTCTGTATTTCCATGAAGGCTTTGATATGAATGGATTCTATTGCTGTATGACTTCTTTCATAAAATTTTTCTCAGCAGGGGCTGTGTCGAATTTGAAAATTTCCTCAAATTTATTGTTGGGGTGGAGCTTCCATTAACATGCTTTCTCTATTGGTGGCAGTGAAAGCACAGTTATTATATAGGCGTATACATCAGAATGTATCATTTGCATATCTGATCTGGAAATCTTAGGATTGGAATTTACAATTAAGAGATTAAATCATTGAAAACAAGAGTTTTCCACCAATGGTGTCCCTTTTTTTTAATGGAATTAAAAGTGTTTATTAACCAGAATTTGAGTTTTGATGTATTCCTGTAATAATATGAAACCATTAAAATGATGGTATAGACATATAATAACAGAACATAATATGGATGTGGGAAATCAGCCTTCATTACATAGTCCAACTCATAAATCAGTCTCTCTCTCTCTCCCTTTCTTTCTCTGTGTCTCTCTCCCTCTCTCCTTCTGTCATGGATTGAATTGTGTCCCCAAAAAATATCTGTCAACTTCACTAAACCAAGATTCCCAGTATTGTGTGAATTGTCCACCATTTTGTCATCTGATGTGATTTTACTTTTTGTTGTAAATCCTGTCTGTATGATGTGATGGGATGGGATTAGCGGCAGTTATGTTAATGAGGAAGGACTCAATCTGTAAGATTAAGTTGTGTTTTAAGCCAGTCTCTTCTGAAATATAAAAGAGAGAACTGAGCAGGGAGACATGGGGACCTCAAACCACCAAGAAACAAG